AGAAAAAAGAAATAACCAGAAATTACATTTTGTGTATTTCATGGTTAGGAAGAGTTTTCTTCTTGTTTGATGTTTTCGTAAAAAGAGGTGAAGTATTTTAATGTTTTTGAAGGAAGTAACTGAAAGTTACCCAAAAGTAACCTCTGGAAGTGCTGAACCGATTTTGAAAATTGTTCCAGTAGAAAACTAAAAGCGTTTAATTTACCAGTGCATGGACGGAGTGGGTCTCTACTATTTACAATATACACAGTCAGGTCATAAGTATTGTCACACAGTAAAAACTTTTCTTTTAGAATGCTGGCCACAAAAAAGGTTACTGAATTCGAATTGTTCATAAAAATAAAAATGTATACTTTTTAGAATTTTACTCATTTTTAAATATGGAGTGGACGCTTAAAGAAGACCGTGTTGCAGTTATAGCGATGCATCGTTGCGGTTACGCGCCAATTAAATTATTTGACATACTGTAAAATTTGAATATAACATCATTCATCATTTTGAATAAACTTTATTGTCATAAGAATCTATGTTTTGTTAAGTTCATTTTGGTATATAAATGGTTACATAATGAATAAACTTGTTTCAATTATATTATACTAAACATGTGACAGAATTTATGACCTGACTAGGTACAATATTTATTATAATATATTTGCTCTTATCCCCATGTTGGTCACTCAAAGTACGAAGGTCCACCATTTAGATTGCCTAGGTCATATTGTGATCGAATTTAAATTCAATACATGTTTAAGTGGTGAGATCATATTACATCGCATTATATCTTAGGTCCTGACGTCAACTTATGATTGTGAGTAGCGTATTGACGTCACCCTATAAGTGACGGCTGTACGAATAAAATGGATTATTATTGCTTGTCAGGTGACAAGCAAAAGATTTGATTTTAGACATTCATATGTAGCTAAGTTCTAGATATATTTATTTAAACTTTACTGTCAAACATAAGCAAACGGCGGACTTAATGCCATAGGCATTCTCTACCAGTCAACCAGTATGATTGTTGGAGACAAATAGTATTATATTACTAGATTCATGTTCTTAAATAAACTTCAAATTACAGATTAAAGTATAAAAGTGATAAATAACATTTTTTTAATTAAAAATTTTAACTATTGTTGCTATTTATTCTTTCAAATGTTCAATACTTGTAAAGGTATTCATTTGACATTGTGCGTTACCTACAATGCGAAGAGATGGCGCTGCCTTGCAGCTCAAGAAAGACTAGAAGGAATTCGACACGGTCGTCAGGGCCGTGGTAGCATAATGGTCAGTTCATTCGCCTGGATAGCGAAGGTTGCGAGTTCGAGTCCCGTCTGCTGCCTGGTCCGCGTGGAAATCTTTTCTAGTAATATTTTCTTTAGATATAATGTTATTGTGATTACATGTGCCCGATAAATAATTTCAAATGGTGGCAAATTAATAATAAACCTGGGGTTTCATAAAATAAATACCCTAGATACACCAACACGAAGAGAATCGTGGCCGAAACCTGTCCAAAAGGTACATTGGACGATTCATGGAGCTCCGTAAGATGAGCGGGTAGTCAAAAACAAAATACAGCATTATTTAAACATTGAAAGTCACCTTAAACGCATACTGTATAAGGTTTTAATTAAAACGCATGCGCCAGAGTTATGACAGTTCGACAGCTCGTAAAATTTTACGACTTATTGTTATATGCGGAAAAATATAGAATTTATTCCTTTGGCTCTACGCGCAATTCTGAATGCTCTATGCTTAGCAAAATAGCAGTTACGGACCGCGAAGAAAAGAGACGGCTATATCACCTACAATGCATTTGAATATCATAAATATTTTCTATTAAATCAGTTTATAGTAAGTATTAGAACAAAATTTGCTTCAAATGCATTAAATTGACGAACATTGATGATATACCTGTCGAAAAAACGACAATACGACCTTTAGGTCGTATTTTTTCCCGCATTTTTTCACAAAGCTCTGCGGCATCTTCACTTTTCAACGGTCCGCGCGTGACTGTCAACTAAGAAGTGCTTAAGTGGTCTTCAAGCACTTCACCATTGGGACACATTTTGAGGGCACGTGGTGTATCTAGAGGGTACTTGATATCGTTGGTTTCATTCTAAACATTAAGATTTATTACCCTATTCATTATTTATTTTATTTAAACTTGATTGACCAATGTATACAGTGCCGGATTAAGGCAGCATATGAGCTACATCCAGTCCAAGATAACCATAAATATCTTTATCACTTAAGTTGCTTTTTTCTTGTCTGTTCTTTTTTATATTTTTGCAAATTTAAGTTTATTTTTTTGTTTATAGTTAGTCTAAGTTTTCAGTAGTTCGAATAGAGCTAGTTTTTTCTCTGTTTACAGGGACCAAAATAGCGTTGAAATCTTTTTCAGAAAATGTGTTTTTGAACTTTACTTTCGTAATTGCATTTACTTATTTTCTCATGGACTGTGATAAAAAGTAGAGTGACCACCTCGAGAGCAACACTATTTTAAAGCTCAAGCGACTTACATTAAATCCTTCGCTTCGATCTGAGGGCCCATCGCCTAACCGGATTGCTTTGGAAAAGGCTATCGCTTACGATTTCATTTTGTTATTTCTAGCCACCTGAGGTGTTCAAATGCCCCACGCTGTTCTTTTTTCTTTTGCATTGTTAATAACAATATTAAAGAAAATGAGCGTGAGGTATTTGAAAACCTTCGGCGGTCAAAATAACAAAATGAAATCGTAAGCGATAGCGTTTTCCAAAGCAAATCCCGTTAGGCGAATGGCCGCCTGGATAAAAAAATACTTTCATCACGTTTAAAATAGTTCTTTGCTACCTAGTAAACACTCTACTATTCTTTATGAGTTGCTTAAAAGTGTTTTGTTTTTTTGCTTATTTAGAGACTAGATAAATTATTTACTTTCTTCTCTTACACTGTGTAAAACATACAAGTAGGAATAAAACAACTGGCCGGCGTCCAGTTTTCAATTTATGCACACTTTGACGGATATCAATGCGCGCAGTTGCGCAACCGGACCGTTTTTAGATCAAAGTCCTGCGCGTGCGCGAGAGCACTATTTATTTATCAATCGATTCCACGCTCATAGAGACAAAGTAAAAATATAGCATTATATATAAAATTTCATACTCGTAACATAATAAAGAGGCGTATCACGATAAATTTATGCTGTTGTGTGTCATCTTAGGTAGGTATTTATATTTTCACAGAACACTTACACAGTACAGTATTTTAGTTCGCACCAGTTTGGACCAGAAATAAATACGCAGTGTGAGTGTATTGAAAGTACACTGCAGATTTAAGATTGTGTCTCTATTTATTTTTGTTATAATACTTAAGAGCCCACCTACGAAGTTCATAACATGAACTAACATAGCGGATTCTGTGCTCATATTGGAGCTCAAGTCCATCTTTAAGCAAACCACAGTAATAAAAAGATGTTGTATGTTCCTAATGGCGAATAAAGGTTTTTAAGGGGTCCAAGGAATAGGAGATAGGTTCAAGGCAGGTAAAGCGCAGGGAGGAGCTCGTTGGCGCAAGTGGTTAGCGCGTTCGGCTGCTGATCGTTGAAGTTAAGCAACTTTCGCAGTGGTCAGTCATTGAATGTGTGACCAAAAATTTACTATCTAGAGCTCCTCCGTGCTTCGGAAGGCACGTTAAATCTTGGCCTGTATATGCAATCATTAGCACCCACCAATCCGCACTGGGCCCGCGTGGTGGGTCATGGCCTAAACTCCCTATTCCATCCATAGGAAAGGCCTGTGCCCCAGCAGTGGGGACATTAATAGGCTGATGATGATGAGGTAAAGCGCGAGTTATAGTCTAGTATGTCAAGTGTTTATAGGCTATACTAAGCGCTCACAATCAGGTGGGTGATTAGGCTGTTTGCCTCCCTTTTGACATTAAAAAAAGTTAGATATTATTGCCTTTTAATGCGAGTGTGAATCTTAAGATAATTATGATAAATTATGTAATGAATGTTTTAGGAGAAAAAATACACTAATCGTTTAGTTTTTTTAAGTTAAATATATTTGAATTTGTAAATTGAATACTTTAATGTTTTTTGTACATCGTTGTCTCGATTCTCCGATGTCTCGTCATAATAGAGATTGCCCCAGTTACAGAACAGTATTGTATGCACTGCATTTTACAGAACCGATATTGTTATTATCGCTAATACGAAAATATTATAAAATGTTGTTGTTGCACGTATGGTAAGTTGCCAAAAAGGACCAAGAAAATCAGATTATATTTTCTACTCTGAATTTGACAGTAGATATTTTAACCATTCCTTGTATACTTCCAGACACATCTACCGGCCCACCTAGAATTTTGAGTTTTGACTGTCTCTAACTAAAAATAAAGTAACATGGAGCAAAAAGTTTTTACGCAGTTTTGAAGCTGATTTAGTTACCATGGTTTTCGTGTTTTTATTTTAATATTATTATTGTTCAACCTAACTTAATTTTTTGCTACAGACCTTTGAAACATAAGACACTAAGTGGGCCTATAACTGTTTTCGGAAGTGTATATTTTATATTAAACCACTGACAATTTAAAATTAAAGGAATAGTATGATTACAAGTTTAAAAAAATACGTGTAGCTATATTAGAAGAATGACAACCAGTTTAAATTATTCGCATTCTATTCTTATTTGATTCGAAGCCCGAAATAGAGATAATTTATTCCCGAATGTATCACCTGAATTGGGTCTCCTAGCAAAAACAATAGCCGCTATACAACAAATAATATAAAATAAATAAGATTTTGAATTCACCTTTTTCAACGGTATTCCCAAATGGCTCAACTTTTAGCAGGAAACAGTTCGAATGCCGCTCTTATTACTGACGTGATAAGGGGTTTAATTGGCTTACTCTTGTGCAGCAAAAAAACATTTTGCATTACGAATATCGCTCTTATAATTATGCCAATAGAACTCCAAATATATCCAGACATCGACTATAAGCTTATTGGTAAACTCACCGGAATCGCCGACTGCTTGGCTCAGCGTGTTCTCAGTGACAGGGCGTAATGCTTCTACCGCGCTGATGTAGCCGAGACGATCGGCTATAGCGCACGCTGTCTGACCATTCTGTTAGGAAAATGTGCTGCTTACATTTCATTTTTTTTGGAGAATATGTACATTAGCTTACCATACGAGCCCTTACCGCCAAATTATCGTAAGCGACACTCGCCAAATTATCGTAAGCGACACTTTTGTCGAAATGCGTTTTTTTGTGGAAACTAATATTTTAAACCGTAACGGACCCATCTCTGTTGATATTTCCCTCCAAAAGAACACCGTTATAATATAATAGAGGGAAGAATAGAGGGAAATATCAACAGAGATGGGTCCGTTACGGTTTAAAATAATAGTTTCCACAAAAAACGCATTTCGACAAAAGTGTCGCTTACGATAATTTGGCGAGTGTCGCTTACGATAATTTGGCGGTAAGGGCTCGATATAAGATATAAGAAGATTACAGCTTTAGCTAAGTTCTCCTCCAGTGACGCCTCTTAGCATTATATCGAATGGTATTTCCCGTTCTCATTCTTACCCATTGTGGAATGGATCGATTTTGTTTTAGTTTCTTTGCTTGATAATAAAGGTCATGTGGGCTGACATTATGCCTTTGCAAAACGTCAAAACAAAATGGACTATGGATGGGCAAATGGGTAGGATACAATTTATTACCAGGAAATAGAAAAACAAATGGGTGAATTACTATATTATAAGGCAAACTCCTTGGGGAAAACCATAGCTAAAAAAACCTTGCGCTGTAGACGTTTTTGCATGTAAAATTGCTTCTAGCTTCCTTGTTTTTGGTCGGTGTGCTCAAAAAAATTGCCGGGATGTGTACCTACTATTTCATAAGGAAAAATGGGCTTAAATTTAAATATGTTAACATATTTTCAAAAGGCAACATAAATAATTATGTATTTCCTATTATTACTTATATCTTATACAACGAAAATATCTAATATTTACCGCAGACAGAGCGTTGGGGTCTGCGTTGTTCTTAAGAAGGAGTTGAATGATCAGTGTGTGGCCTTGTTGGGCTGCCTGATGTAGTGGGGTAAATCTGAGGACAAATAAATCTTTATATAGTATGAAATAAAGTCACTTTTCGTATTTACTTGTATATCCACTAGCTCCACCTAAATATACCTCTAAAGGGATTTCAGCTTTCCCTATCAAATATAATATTTTATTACGGAAAGTTCACATATAATAATAATACGAAAACAAATCTATATACAACATTATATCGAAACCCCTAGCACGATCCATTATCGAATTCGAATAGTTTGCAAACCGAAATGTCAATGTCAAATTTTGTATGGAAACTTGAACAGCAGCGGCACAAAGTACGTAACGAGAACAAAAATCAGTACACATTTGACAATGACATTTCGGACTCGCAAACTATACGAATTCGATATTGGTTCGTGCTAGGAACGAAGATATCATATAATTATTTTTTTCATTATTTACACTTTTCTGCCCAGTACTTGAGACAAGTCGAATTGTCTGTAGCAATAAATTTCTATTAATATTTATAGAAAATTGCAACTGACTGCACAAAAATGAGAAAATGAAAATACTGTAACTAGTGCTTACGTTGACACTACTGCCATCTAGTGACGAATAGCAGAAGTTATTGGTACACAAACCCGGTGACGCTGTTAAGGTCATCTGCGACTAGGGTTACCAACCGTCCGGATTATGTCTGATTTTTTTATTACTTGGAATATGAGTAAAACTAAAAGTCGAATAATCTATTTTAAGTTCTTATTAATTGAAAACAAAATATAATTTATCTTTAAAAATCAACAACGAGACCCCCTCGCGATGCGAGCGTCTGCTACCACGCCTATTATATCACTTTTACTAAGTGGGTGATGTTTGCATTTTGTGACTAAAATGTCCGGTTTTTTGTCAGGACTTTTCAAATTTTTAAATAGAAACCCTATCTGCGACCAACAGCATACATACTCAACAAAAAAATATATACACATCAGCTTATGAAAACACTCTTACGCTATATGGGAGTTCTGAGATTTCTTTTTTTCTCAAAATACGATTTAAATTTTGTTGTGATTACGTATCGATATAAGTATACCAGCAAATTCAGCTATGGGCATACCTCTCCCAAAGTCAAATTAGTTTGGACATCGTTTGAGTTTTTCTCGACGGTTTTAAGATTTTATAATTTAAATTATTGTAATTGTTACTTTATAATTAAGTATTTTGCGTGAAAACGTCACTTAAACTATAGAAATTAAGCAAGAAATGTGCTTTATTTATTTCATTCCACTACATTGTGTCGATTCTGGCAGCGTCATCTACACTGAAAAGTAAATTTATCATCAATCTCTCTTTTTACCCGGCTGCGCAATGCAAGAGCGCGAAGCGCGACGCGCAGACAGGGTTATTCATTCTGTATAGAGAATAACAGGGATACACTGTTTTCAAAATTAAGCTTAGGTTTATATTATTATCAGGTTTATCAGTGAAAGTAGAATGGATCGAATGCATTTTGTTGTTTTTGTAGCATTCCGTGTAAAACTATTATTCTATATCTTCGTGGTACTTACCCGTGTACGACCCTGGCTGCTGTATATTTTAGGGGTCGAATGTAGTACCGCTGTCTTAGGGCCTGCGCTGCGTTAAGCGGAAGATGACATGACTTCCGTACGATCTTCGAGTGCAGTTAGATGTCTTGAGTACAGCTATAAGACCTAGTTTCCTTACATAGCAGATCTAGCAGACTCTTCAGGACAGCGGGACGGCCTTCAGACGTAGCTAGATGTGCCGTCAGTCCTATGGCTTTAAAAGCTAATCTCTCCACCCATCTGCCCTAGCGGCTACATCAGCGCGCGCGTCTATAAGGGCACCATCCGCCGCTTGCAGACTCTTCAAGGCTGAGGTGCAGCCTCCAGACGCGGTTAGATGTGCCGTCAGTCCTATGACTGTAAGAGCTAATCTCCCCACCCATGTGCTGCTCTAGTGGCTACATCAGCGCGCGCGTCTATAAGGTCTCCACCCGCCGCTAGCAGACTCTTCAGAACTAAGGTGCGGCCTTTAGTCGTGGCTAGATGTACTATCAGTGCTACGGCTGTAAGTAGTCTCCTAATCCACCTGCTGCCCTAGCGGCTTCATCAGCGCGCGCGTCTATAATGACTCGCGTGGCGGCGTGGTGATAAGTCTCTGTTTGTAGCTAACAGACTCTTCAGAACAGCGGATCAGCCTTCTGACGCGGCTCAATGTGCCGTCAGTGCTACGGCTGTGAGTTGTCTCCTTACCCATGTGCTGCCCTAGCGGCTACATCAGCGCGCGTTTCTATAAGGACTCGCGCGGCAGCGTGGTGTCCTTGATGGGAGGCGGCGTGTAGTGGAGTATATCCGTCGCGAGTGCGGGCGTTACAGTCCCCACCCGCCGCTAGGAGACTCTTCAGGACTGAGGCGCGGGCTTTAGACCCAGCTAGATGTGCCGTCAGTGCTATGGCTGCAAGAGATAGTCTCCTCACCCATGTGCTGCCCTAGCGGCTACATCAGCGTGCGCTTCTATAAGGGCTCGCGCGGCAGCGTGGTGCCCGTGATGGGCGGCGGTGTGTAGTGGAGTATATCGGTCGAGAGTGTGGGCCTTACAGTCCCCACCCGCTGCTGGCTTTAGACCCAGCTAGCTGTGCCGTCAGTGCTATGGCTGTAAGAGATAGTCTCCTCACCCATGTGCTGCCCTAGCGGCTACATCAGCGTGCGCTTCTATAAGGGCTCGCGCGGCAGCGTGGTGCCCGTGATGGGCGGCGGTGTGTAGTGGAGTATATCGGTCGAGAGTGTGGGCCTTACAGTCCCCACCCGCTGCTGGCTTTAGACCCAGCTAGCTGTGCCGTCAGTGCTATGGCTGTAAGAGATAGTCTCCTCACCCATGTGCTGCCCTAGCGGCTACATCAGCGTGCGCTTCTATAAGGGCTCGCGCGGCAGCGTGGTGCCCGTGATGGGCGGCGGTGTGTAGTGGAGTATATCGGTCGAGAGTGTGGGCCTTACAGTCCCCACCCGCTGCTGGCTTTAGACCCAGCTAGCTGTGCCGTCAGTGCTATGGCTGTAAGAGATAGTCTCCTCACCCATGTGCTGCCCTAGCGGCTACATCAGCGTGCGCTTCTATAAGGGCTCGCGCGGCAGCGTGGTGCCCGTGATGGGCGGCGGTGTGTAGTGGAGTATATCGGTCGAGAGTGTGGGCCTTACAGTCCCCACCCGCTGCTGGCTTTAGACCCAGCTAGCTGTGCCGTCAGTGCTATGGCTGTAAGAGATAGTCTCCTCACCCATGTGCTGCCCTAGCGGCTACATCAGCGTGCGCTTCTATAAGGGCTCGCGCGGCAGCGTGGTGCCCGTGATGGGCGGCAGCGTGTAGCGGAGTGTATCCGTCGCGAGTGCGGGCGTTACAGTCCCCGCCCGCCGCTAGAAGACTTTTCAGGACTGAGGTGCGGCCTTCGGACGCGGCTAGGTGGACTGGCGTTAGACCTGAGTGACAAATAATGACGCAATGTAGTACACAACCTTTTATTGAATAACTAAATGTTTCCAACATTCAAACCAATTACCCTAACCCCAAACGAAGCACGGAAAGGCTTGTGTTATGAAATAATGGAATGGACAGTAATGGATAGAATACATATACTGATACATATATAAGTATATTCTATGTAGAAATACATATAAACTTCTATGGTACAAATGCTCGTATTATAACACCACAATACAGAAAATAGAAAAATAACAAGCAAGGAACTTAACAGAGTCTCAATGGGCGATCTTATATCTTCTTAACAACCACTGGATGGAATGGATTTGTTAAATTTGTTAAGAAGCTTAAAGGATTAGAAACAAATAAAAAAGTGTGCGGAGCATTCGCTTGGTCCTCTTCATATTAACAATGGAAACCTCAAATCCGAGTCCCAAAATGGCACAGCCAATTTTAGTCTCCAATTTGGTAATGTTGGAAAGTTTTTACCAAATTTCACAATAAACAATTCAAGTAATTCGTCGTTTTCATATAGACACTTGACAACTCTATCCGATTCTAAAACGTCAAAGCAATTTTTTTGTCTCCCATTTAACAATGTCTATAACACGGTAACGATAACTGAGTTTGGAAGCGCGTCGGCGCCACGAGCTCAGCGGCGCTGACGCGTGGCGCGTAGACGCGCGTATGGCTCAGCGCTGACAGTGATCAACGCTGAGCCGTCAGTGTTATTTTAAAACGCTTCATATGTTACATAATGGCCTGTCAGCGCCGACGGTCAGCGTGACACTAAAACCAGCCTAAGCCGTTGGTTCCGACTGCATCTGCCGTAGTTAGCAGCCACCAATCTGCACTGGGTCCGCGTGGCGGGTCATCGACCAATCTCCCTATTCCATTCATAGGGAAGGCCTGTGTCCCAACAGTGGGCATATGAATAGGCTGATTATGATGATTACTTACCATTATTAGCAGGCACGTTGACGTCAGCACCTCGCTCAATTAGCATCTCCACGCAATCCTCGTGCCCCTCCTGGGCTGCCATGTGGAGGGGGGTGAATCCTGCTTTTGACTTCACTCCGGGATCAGCATCTTTACGATAACAGAGAAGATAGGTAAATTGAAGGAAAAGCTTTGGAATTTTAATAGTCAGTCAACGCAATGACAGTAAAACAACACAATGCTCATGTATCGCCCTTATCGCAAGGCGATAAGAGCGTTTATCTATTAGCCGATGATAAATTCATCTCCACGCAATCTCGTGGCCCTTCTGGGTTGTCATGTGGAACAGGGTGAGACCCGCTTTGGATTTTACTCCGGAATCAGCATCTCCAAGATATTGAAACAAAGAGCATAGGTAAAAGTTTTGGTCACATTAAAGAACAAAACAATATTTATCCTTACCGTGTTCGAGTAGAGCGAATCCGATATCCGGATGGTTGTGTCGACAGGCGATGTGCAGGGCGGAGTGGCCGTTCTTAGCTAGCGAGTGCGGCGACGCACCTACAACAATGTGCTTAGCTTAAAAAATATCCAGCATAGAAATAACCACAGCACATTGACTCACAGACTGCCTTACAAAACTTAGATTAAAGTTTTTGGTTTGATATTAAACCCAAGGCGTCGCCTAATACGGATTTTTCCAAATTTTTGAAATCTATCATCTATCTATTTAAAGATTAGCAAACGATTAAACAGAAAAATAAATAAATTTTTTTTTCTCCATTAAACCAATTAAAGTTGAATTTATTTTTAATTGTTTTGAATTTACCGCCAAAACGCTCGGTTCGATGACGTCTACTGTGTGACCTCAACTTTGTGCATGCTATGTAATCATCTGAAGGTCAAATTATTAAGTTTTTTACGTTCGGGATAAATTTATAGTATAATCTTTAAATATAAGCAGTTTTCAAAAAATTTAAACATATATTGGCAACGATCCTACGATAACACGATGTGTTCTCATCGTGCGATGATTTTCAAATATAAAGATTTCTTCAGAAGCTTCCTAATACAGCTCGTAAGCCGTCGCTCGAGTACATCCGTGTCATCGTACGATCGTTGCTAATAAGAACGGTGGCGCCTATGCTTATTCTGTCTTCATATAGCAGAGAAACTTGGCAATATCAATATAAGATCAAGTTTAACTTTAGTCAACGGTTTGTGATGAGTTTGGTACAGACTTGGGTTGAGTACAGACTTTGTTACTGGGAGGGAATAAGTGGAGCGCTCTTTTCATTGTACAATTTAGTGACAGGTGCTAATTAGCGATCAGATTTTTTTGAACCGATGGACAACTTCATCAAATGTAATTTATTGAGTTTTTTGAATTTTACTAGTTGTAGAACTTGAGTTTTTTTTTCATAGAAAGTGTTTTTCTCTTATATAAATCTACAGTCACTGATTAGGGGATTACAAAGTAATAAATAATTCTCATTCTAAATATTCCATGCTGGCTTGGAAGCGCTTTGCAGCATTACATACATATTTATTCTCACGATATATTTTTTTATGTGGAACTACCTCCCCGTGTGTGTCTCCGTTAAGGATTCTTTAGATTATTACCTTTGCTTAGTAGAAGCAGCGCTATATCCGGGTGGACACCCGGATATAGCGCGTAATAGGAGGTCAATATCGCCGTACTGAGCCGCCAATTAGTTATTCAAATCTTATCTCAAAAGTTACCATAACATAAAATTAAAATTACATGGTACAATAAATACCTTTGTCCAGTAGAAGCAGCGCTATATCCGGGTGTCCGTAATACGTGGCCATGTGTAAAGGCGTTATATGGCTCTTCCCAGGCGCATCTGGTTGGGCCCCTCTCGCTAGTAATAGCCTCGCGACTCCAATATCGCCGTACTTAGCAGCCAGGTGTAGCGGAGTGAAGCCTTTACGGGTCTCCGCTTCGATGGGTGCGTCGTGGTCTAGAAGGATGGAGGCCACTTCTTCCTTGCCTGCGAATGGTTATGCCCTTAAGTACTGATAATGGAGTTTGTAAATGTCGTTTAGATAGATTAGTAACGGTATTTTATAGGTAGCAGAATAATAGATAGACATTTGAATTATCTGACAAGAAAAGATACTTTGTATAAATCTGTACAAAAATGTATTAGAATGTGAATTGTGTGGTACAATGAGATTTATTTAGAGTAACGTCTTCACAATCAAGTATCACACAGCGCTTACACTTAAAAAACTATACTAAGACTCCTTTTACAAAAACGAACATGCAATTTTTTTATGTGTCGAATTGAATACTGGAAGAAACGTTAAGGAAAATCAATCTCATCCTTATTGTGCAAAGCTAAAAAGAAAACTTATAAGAGAGTTAAAGCTGTATAGAGGTATAATCCATTTCCTCCTAGATTGGGAGAAACTTTAAGAAAATATGTACCTTCTTTGGCGGCGATGTGTAGGGGCGTGTATCTGTCCTTAGTGGCAGCGCTTGCATTTGCGCCGTGCTGTAATAGAAGAGCTGCAACGTCGCCGTGCCCTAGACGAGCGGCAACGTGTAGAGGGGTCTGTTCCTCACGAGCTCGGGCTTCAACCTGCGTAAGAAATGTAAAATTAAAAAGGCTTATTGATAAGGCTTAATGGATGAATCTTGCAGATATGTACGTAGTGCTTATGTAATGTCATTGATAAATACATCGACAGTGGAACATGGGTTGAAATGATTGATTCTTTGAAGCCTCACACTAAATAATATTGGCATTGGGTCCCATTAACTTTGGTTGCCAGCATAGACTTAAGAGAATGAACTGAGTAACAATCGCATGAAATTAAAACTCTTTGTGTAGAGACTAAAATCTCTCTTCAATCTTTTCTCAAAAATCTTGCTCTCTCTCACACTTGTCCTTTTATCTTATAGCTGGGTATGCAAATGACTCTACCCCACCTAGTGTTAAGTGGTGGTAAGGTCCAGACACGAAGATAACTGGTGCAGAAGTTTGCCTAGTTTTACTTGACAGCTGGTTAGGGAACGCCAGTCCATTATCTATGTATATGTTTGCTAGTCCATTATCTACGATTCCTACCTAAACAACGATGTTGTGCTAATAATATTACCTATATAGTATAGCTTACCTTAGCATTGTTCCTAAGTAACACTCTCACTAGATCCGTTTGATGCGCACGCGCAGCTAAATGCAGGCAAACATATGTTTGCTAACCTATTATCTGCGATTCTTACCTAAAGAACGATGCTGTGCTTAAAATGGCAATTCTGGGTCATAATGCAATAGGGAAGATGCAATATTTTTATTTTTGTTTTCATTTTAGAGAATTCCATGTAGAAACCACAGATATATTAAAAAATTAAAACATTGTGATTTATCGGAAAAAATGCGGTTTTAAATTGACAATTTAAATTTTCGCGCGAAAACGAACCTATGGTTGCGATGACGTCACTCCTGTCTGTCACTGGTCGTACTTGTTCGTCGTTGGCTTTAAATTTCCATACTTTTGCATATTTTTTCGACTTTCGAAATATTTTTTATAACAATACCACTAATATTCCGAAAAAAAGTCGTGTTGACTCGTTGACGTGATGTTTTGTGCCAATCTACTTCAACAAAGTTTCCAAATAAATTGTTTTTGACTGGAACTTCTGACCCAAAACTGAAAAAAAAGTGGTTACAAGCTGCGAAGAGAAATAACAATTATTCCCCAAAGACCATTATTCGATGCTGTGAAGATCACTTTGACGTAAGTCGGCGAATATACTTTTTATATGGTTAATTAATCTGCTAGTACGTAAAAACGCATTAGTAACCTACCTAATACAAAACCTGTCCATAACATATTTTTAATTTTATAGTTGGAGAATGACGTTGAAAATTAGATAAACTTTAAAATATGTTGCACAATCTTCACATTGGCAGGACTGAACCAAGCTTTGCGTTTCATTTAAAATAACTGTAACACGATAACCTTCTTTACGTACTTTATGCTCTGGAGAACTCGACCTTTTACTGTACATAATTCTCCATCTCTTTTAATTTGGACATAGCCGATTGCATTATCGCCGTAAGATTTGTAGAAGCCGCTGAATAAAATACGAAGTTTAACAACTACGATTTTTACAGACCGTAGTAATTTAGTCCCTTTCATTTCTACACTTAAAAACTCTGCACTTTGGACAAAAAAACCATGTCAACACTAACTCTTGGTAAATTCCTGGAGTCTGCTTTGATAAACGCAACTTCCATTTTTATTTAATATAAAAAACGCAATTAATATTCCCTTAATATAATATTTAATTTAACAACCATAACCTCAAAGAAGTTGTCATAACAGGAGTGACGTCACTAAACGCTGATTGGTGTTTTAAAATACGTTCTGTTTCAAGTATTTTTAATTCGTAATAATTGTTAAAAAACAACATTATGTAAAATGATAACGCTGCAGTGACATTTCTTTTATATTTTTTTAACATTTTAATCATAAAATTTTCATAAATATTATATATGCATCTTCCCTATTACCTATAGAGTAAAGCTTACCTTAGCATTATTTCTCAGTAACACCCTCACTAGATCCGTTTGATGCGCACGCGCAGCTAAATGCAGGGGGGTTTCCCCTCTTGCAGTGGCCGCATCCGCTTCCGCCCCGGCACCCAATAATACTAGAGCTATGTTCATGCAGCCCATAAACGAAGCGACGTGTAAGGGGGTGAGCCCGGATTCTGTCGTAGCTGATTTACCTGGATGAAGTAAATAAAATAAAAATTAATGTTCAAGAATTTTATCACTCCCATAAAATAAGTCTTATTTTATCCGCCTGCGTAGTCGACGAGCTTTCTACCACTGAACCACCGATGTTTGTTGAGAAAGTCTGAATTTATTTACTTATTAAATAAATTCATTAATATTAAATATATTAAAAAAATCATGCAAGATGAACGAATAATTTGTGGTGATGTAATAAAAGTTCTCTCTCTTTTTAAGGTAGCCACACCACTACCTAAAAATGACGACCATAATTTTTAATTCCAACGAGTCCCTCTAAAATAAACGAACTTCGATTGTTTTCACAGTAAATAAACATTTGATCTCGATGGTGCAAGTGGATAGCGCGTTCGGCTGCGATCGTTGAAGTCAAGCCACTTTTGTATCGATCGTTGGATGGGTGACCAAAAATTTACTATTACGATCTCGTCCGTGCTTCGGAAGGCACGTAAGGACGTACGTCCCGACTGTATCTGCAGTATTTAGCACCCAACCAATTCGCACTGGGCTCGCATGGTGGGTCGATGATTAAATGAATAAATAAAATAAATAAATATTTCCAACACTCACACCAATTAGCTAACTAGCCCCAAAGTAAGCACTATAAGGCTTGTGTTATGGGATACTAGGGTAACAGATAGAATACATATACTGTACATATACAAGTAAATTTATATAGAAATACATATTAAACATCCATGACTGCAGTTGTTTGTGTGATGAATACGAGCATTTGTACTCCAAATGCTCGTATTCATCACACAAACAACTGCCCTCACCGGGATTCGAACCCGGGACCTCTCGAGTCGGCGACACCATGAAACCCGGAGTACAAACCACTCGGCCACGGAGGTCGTCAAGAATACTTACTAGCACCATACTTGAGAAGTAACTCGACCACTTTAAGTCTGTTCTTCTTGCAGGCAATGTGTAGTGGTGTGAATCCATTTAGCGCTCGTGCGTTTGCGTCCGCATTTCTGTCCAACAGTAACTTCGCTACCTACAATCAATAATTAAAATGTTAATGTTTATAAACATTGTCACTACAATTAATATTTAAAGAGAGGTAGGCTTAGATTAAAACAAAAAGGGTAGATACGGTACTCACGGATCAAAAGTGGTGCACAATCGCTTAAATTGTGGTGCACAATCACAATTCGCTGTAGTCCACATTCAAACACGCTACATGTACACTCAATATAATAATATTGCGTGTTTTCTGTGTTATGAACATAAAACGATTCATTCGATGCTTTTATAAATACCACAAATAATTCAAAATCAAATTACAAATGCCTCGGCAACACTTTTCAATCGTAAAACTGTAGACATTTTTTTCTCAAAAATCACGGTTTGTCGTGAATGTTATTTACGTAATCGCCATTTTGTTACCAAGAAAAGGACAACAATATACGCTGCGTTGAAGCGTATAGTTCTGTCTCGATCGCTCGATTGAATGTTTATATACAGACGTGTGCGTGTGTGAGAGTTGCTTATGTAGTTGAGTCGGATCATATTTTATTTGATGCTAGTATGAGCGTACCGTATCTTCCCTTTTTGTTTTAATCTAAGGAGGTAGGGCATAACAGATTTACCGCTCGAATTGGAGCGCCGCGCCGATCTAGGCAAGTAACCTTCACCTTACAGAAGACTACAGTAAAATAACATTTCCCATTTGTTGGTGTTGTTTTTCTGTCGGTGAGTAAGGTTCCAGAGCTCCTCGGGGTAGGGGATTAGACCGGCAAGGTCCTTACCATGGCTGGAGCGGCACGGCTTCTGCCGCATCATCTATCTTCACGACTGGGCGGAGTTCAGTACACTTAACAACAGGAGGGATGGGCTGATTTGTTGTTTCCTCAATATAAAAAAACAATTTACCTTAACGTGTCCACAATGTGCCGCGACGTGCAGTGCTGTGAGGTAGTCGACAGTGACGTCATCGATTGGGGCTCCCTCTGAGAGGAGGACTTTGGCCGTCTCCACGTGTTCGCCTTGAACGGACATGTGGAGAGGGGTCAGTCCGTTCTGGAACAAACAAAATGTCATCATCATCAGCCTATTAATGTCCCCACAGCTGGGGCACAGGCCTTCCGTATGGATGGAATAGGAAGATTGGGCCATGCCCATGCCATGGGTCCCAGTCCGGATTGGTGCTAAAGACTGCAGATGCAACAGGTACCAACGGTTTAACGAGCCTTACGAAGCACGGAGGAGCTCAAGATAGTATTTTTTTGGCTAACCACTTGCGCCATCGAGCTCCTCAAACAAAATATATTATTAGACAAAGTTTTCATTGAAATTAATATTGTGGAGTTGTATAACACATAGTAAACTACTTTGGCTTTGACGATTACGTGATCAGGAAGATTATGATTTCATTCCGTTAACCCTACAAAATTCAGTCCGTTTGATCATTTGTCGTGGTCTTTCTAGCCTTTCTATGTTTGAAGTCCTGTGGATTATCTATCATATGAACTACGTGTAACCTTAGTCTTGTTGGTGATGGGCACCTGATAATGCAGCAGTCGAAAGACCACGCTAATTCCATATAGGTCAGTACAGTGAAGTGTCCTAAGGCAGTAGTTCTTCGAGCCATATATGTCCAGCATCCTGTGGATTATATCAAAGATGTTATGGGCGGCGAAACCTTAGTCTTGCTGGTGATGGGTGCCTGATTCTACAGCAGACGGGAACCACGTTGCTTTGACCAGCGTCGATAGCACAGAGTAGTATCTTAAGACTAGAGGTCCTTCGCGCCAGAATTTTTTAGCAGCCTGTGGATTATTAACGACCTTGTGTGTAGTGAAACCCTAGTCTTGCTAGTGATGGGCGCTTGATACTACAGCAGACGAGATATAACGTTGCTGTGATCGGATTGGGCAGTAAAGACTAAAGGTGTGAGGCTATGGTCCTTCGAGCCGGATATATCTGCATTCCTGTGGATTATCAATGATCCTATGAGCCCATGGGAAATCTTAATCTTGCTGGTGATTGGCGCCTGATGCTGCATCAGACTACCACTTTGATAAGTCCAGAACTAGTAGTCCAGTAAAGCAATGTAAAGCCATGGTCCTTCGAGTCAAATATGTATGAAATTCTGGTTATCAACGATACCTTAGTCTTGCTGGTGATTGGGGCCTGGTGCTGCAACAGTCGAGAAACCACATTGCTGTGTCCGGAGCGAGCGGCGCAATGCAGCGGTGTGAGGCCATCGCGAGTCACTGCCGCTATGTTAGCCCCTGGTGTAAACAAAAATGCTTAGGATGAGTTTGTTTGAAAAACAGAATGAGAAATTTGCGGAAACAATACATTGTTAAACTTTCCAGATACAAGTGGTCGCAACATACAAAACTATAGCTATTTTATAAAAGTGTTTATCTTTGAGCAGAAAAATGATATCACAAATTAAATATAGTTGGGCCACAATTGTTTCGCGTAACTTTACGTTAATTTATCACCAATTAATTGAAGAGTTTTTATTTTAATAAAGTTATAGACTCTTAAAGACAATGTATAAATTATCACTATACTAATTATTTTGGGGCTGGTGCTAAAATTAAAATTGATTATGATGCATTCTCTACCCCACGACCTTAAAAATAACAAATAGACAAATCCTTCAGTATACATTAAAACCAGAGATACCATTTTCAACCAGCAAGTCGACCATAGCCAGCTGCCCCCACTTGCTGGCAACATGCAGGGGCGTGATATTATGTTTGGCCGCTCTACCGCTGTCTGCACCCGCTGCAAGTAAGGCCTTTGCGACTCCAACATTCCCGTAATGTGCTGCGATGTGAAGGGGCGTGAAGCCGGATTTGGAACACGCGTCTGGATTATGTTCGTTCTGGAAACGAGAAGAATTAATTGATACTAATTTATAATCGACTACTAAGTAATTCCCTCGCGACGACACAATTACCGTAATGAACCGCTGCGCGGAGCGCCGTGAAATCAGATTTCGAACACGCGTCTGGATAGTGTTCGTTCTGGAAGTGAGAAGAACCGATACTTATTTGACGATCTTCTTTGTGGAATGGTATGTACACCGGTTTTCAAAATGTTTGTATGATGAATACGAGTTTTTGTTTAAAGAATCCAATAATCCTAGTTGGGTTGTTGCGTATTCATCCTATGACCTTTCATTACAAGCATTATTTTTTCCTTACTCAACCTATTTTTATTCCTTACTCAAACTACAAAAATTGTTTTAAACGACCACAGCCCTCCACACTCCTCACCTCATGCTAGGGATAAGCACCGCGATATGTTATATAGTACGTTTTTATCACGCTCAATTGTCAAATTACTATGGAGTTTGACAATTAAACACGATAAAACAGTCATATAATCTAAATTGTGGTGCTACGGGGACTGGGATCTACTAAAATGCACACAACATTGAATTTTGAAATGATTCCTGTCGCTTAGGAGAAGTTCAGATAAAATCCTAGAATTCTAAAGCGTCACTTGACCGGGTCCTATTGTGAATCAAAAAATCCGAACCTCCTTTCAATACATAAATTAAAAAAATATCGAGATTGGTTTTAACGTTTAGGTAGACTTCAATAACAAACGCACGGACAATAAGTTAATAAATTGACCCCGAGTGCGAAGTCGGAGCATGTGTCTAGTTGCTCATAAATGTTCATATAATCGAATGAACCGACATTAATTTTGCAACTATGTACGTTATGACTTTGATAGTTAGTTAACAAATTTGTAGGAGTTGGTATAAAGATCAGGGATTGTCAGCAGAGTTGTATTTAAAAATGTTCCTCCCCCCTCCCCCCTGGCGACCCTGACGGTCAGGGAACTTCTTGTATAACTTTTCCTCCTTACGTTTTTTTCATGCTAAATTGGGAAAGTCGTTTATGTCGCAATTTACCCTTTTTTATCTTTGGAGGAGAGAGGAGCCGCCCCATGATAATAATTAATGGGATTGGGAGTGTTGGTTCTGTAATATGGCTAAATAAGTAGTTTTATTGTTTTTCATTTTTCTTTAATAGTTAGGTCACGGTAATAATATCATACAGTATTCTATCTTCATACAAACGGTCGCAAAAGCGAGTCATACCTACGCCACTCGAGTTCGAGGCACTCTCGGAGGGCACCTAGTCGCGAATGCGCCGCCGCGCCGCAACGACGACCGAACGGTGTGAATTGTTTTTTATGCAGTTAGCCGTGCTTAAACGTGCGTTTTGTATTGTAAATATTTGATTGAATTAAGTAGATACCTACATAATTTAGTATGGAAAAGAACAAACGACGATCAATATCGTACAACAGCACAATTGCTCTTTTTGGTTGCTTGAACTCTTCAATAACACACCCAGAGATATAATTTTTTAAATTACCTGAAATATTGGAAAGGTGTCTTACCTTTATAGAATATTTTTTATATACCTATCTACTAGTACGTAATTTGTTTCTAATATTTAGGTATTTCGATTTTTCCGCCGGGCAAAATATCTGGAATAATATATAAATAAGTGGTTAGGATGAAAAAAGAGACAAACGAATAATCTACCTACACTCGCGTTAAAAACAAAACTACATAAAATACTGTAGGCGGGCGGCCCTACCGCGTGCTAACGTAGCGCTCGGCCGTAGGCATTTATTTCAAGGACAGGGCGGAGTCACAATACTGTACAGATAATATTACCGTGGTTAGGTGGTTGCTTTAACGTCGTTCTTTTTATCTATATGTTGAGTCCAATGATGTGAGAGTTCAGTTTAAGAGCCCTTTCACATTTTTTGCAATAAATCGCAATTTTTGAGCGCCTCCTTTGCCCCCTTAGAAGAGATTTTGACTACTTCCAATAGAAGTAAACAGTAGATTTATTCTTCCTATTGAAAATTAATGTAAAATATTTTCAAATACTATTTCCATTTTTTTGTACTGATCGTTCTACCACAGCTAGTTTACGGAAAAAACGATAATATGCACAACTTAAAACGCCTTAATCTCACAATAATGTTCAATAAATTAGATCAAATTAATTACTACGACACCAGAAATATGTTTTTGTTGCAACATAATGTATTAGAATCTTGATTTTCCATCTCATTAATTATTAAAAAAACATCTAACCTCCGTGAGTTTCCCCAAAAAATAACGCAGGTTTACCTCGTATTTTGATATTGAATTAAATAGAATTACTATCAAAAATTGACATAAAACTAATCTACAATCATTGAACTACTGAAATATGTATATAATTTTATAATAATTTCATTAATTATTATTTTATAAGACTCTGAACATCACCCGTAAAATGCAATTTATAGTAGTGCAAATCTAGACGCCGTTCAGTACGGCGCCAGCGCCTTTGGAGGTCGGACCTGTGTCGCTTTGTACCGCACGCGTTCCGAGCGATGCTACGAGTGCATTCATCGTAAAACTGGCTGGATATACTACGACCGCAAAAGTTTAATCATTGACTGTATGTAAGTTTCCACAACCGTATTAAATTTTATTATTATAAGTACCTACCTAGTTATTAATTATCGTTGCTTCAACTAATATTTTTGTTATAAGCTTTTACAATGGGGCGTAAAATTCCTGCTTACCATTGTGCCAAAAAAAGAAAACGAAAGAATGATGTAGCCATAAAGAAAGCTTGTGAAGCAAGGTGAATATGCTTATAACATTTCTTTTTTTATTTTTGTGGTTTCAATGGGTGTTTTAATTGTATAAAAATGGTGATTTGTCCGGACTTTTCAAGTATCATTGGTATAAAATTGTAATCAGTCAAGGTACTGTACTCTAATGGCCAACGATTTTATCTTACTGACTTAATGGGTATGTCAATCTATCCTTATGTCTATAAAAAAAGCTAGAGTGCGGTAAAATTTTGCATTTCGATCAAGTATAACAAGTATAAGCTCGTGGGCTGCCAAAGTACATATTGGCCCAACATAATAATATATTTAGAATAGAAATCCACAGTTCTATGTATTTTAGATGGAAACAATATTTTTTTGTTTTAAACTTAAAAGTAATGGGATGCATTTCTAGAGCAAAAAAGTTTATTTTTAATATTTTATATTTAGACTTCTTTGCTCCATAAGTTCAATTGACAGTAACTTGCTGATTTACGTACCATATCTGTGTCTGGATTGGAAATATATTTCCAGTATTGCCTATATCTGTTTATATGCGTAGATAGTCGATAAAAGCAGTATTGTAGTCAATTAGATACTCTGTTTTCAGGAGGAGTATATGGTTGATGGAGGACGTGTAATGATACCAGGACATTTTGCACTTGGAAACACCAGACTCAAATGTCAACATATCAATATCACCTCAGCTGAAATAAGAACTTATAGAATTGACAATGAGCGAGGAAATTTCAGATGTTGTTATTATAAGTATTTTGTTTATTATCGTCATACTTTTATTAAAATTAAATGTATTGTGGCCCTTTGTCACCGTAATAATCCACAAAGAATAATATATTATTATAGATAACTATAATATAATCTTCATTGTAATTTACGAAAAACAAAACATCAATCATCAGTTTCAAAAAGAGACAATCATTGTACGTGAAACGTTATACTACCAGACTGCTTCCGGTTATGATAGCATCAGTGATGATAATCTTTGATAACACTGATGAGTAATTAATTGTATAGAGAATAGCAGATTTTATTGAATGTATTTTATTATTTATCCTGAAATTACCATACGAGAACTCGCAGCAAAAATTTCGTGAGTTAGGTGTGTAAGAGATGAGTTCCTATGAAAGTTAAATGCTTTTGATGGGTTTTGTTTAAATGAATGGAAATTACACGAATACAAAAAACATGCTTTTTATTTTTTTATCAAATACTCTTACAGATATATTGAAAAAACAGAGTGCGAAAACTTTTTTATTAAATGAACTACGAAGGCAAAGACAAAACTACACTTAGTACAGTTTTACTGAGATATTTGATTATTATCAATCATCATCATTCATTTCTCATTGCCACTCAAAAAAGGGATTTCATTCAGCGATAACAGTGAACAAACTTTTCATTTAATTACTGAGTGAATAAAAAAAAATTGAACAAACAGAAGTTATGCAAATCATACATATAAAGTTACAATAATTAGTAATAATTATAATTAATCTTTATTGTCATTTCTAAAACGCAACCAATGGGTACTATAAATATATTATTTATTTTCTCACAATAGTAAAAAAACTAATAACTAATCCTTGTATCCTTTGCTCCACTCAGGATTCCTATCTAGAATCGTTCGTTGCTACAGTAGGGATCCATCTTAGCACTTCAAAGTAACTTTATTTTATATTTGCATTTATTGTATAATCAATAATTGCATATTAAAGTATCAATTTGGTAAAGCGCGCTATACTGAACTTCGCCGCGTCGATGTCTCGCTCGTGCGACTCGGACACGCTCGCGGTCATATTTACCTAAACTAGAGCGGCGCAATTTTGTAAAAGGGCTCTTAATAGCTATTCATATTATATTTTACTAGTTCTTTGTAAGGCTAACCTCTAATAATAAGGTGGCTGCTTTGACATCGTTCTTCTTGGCGGCTATGTGTAACGCCGGCAACCGAACTTTGCCCCGCGTGTCCGACTCCAAGAGCTCCGCAACCACTCGGTCGTGTCCTTGCTGCATAGCGACTGCCAGAGGAGTGAACCCATCCTGACGAGAAAGAGATAAAAAATATATAAGGTAATATTCTAATGGGGTAGCTGTAATATGACCTCGAATACAGTATGTTGACGTGTTGATGCTTTAAATTCGATATGGTATTATTAACATTGCATGCCATCCATATCAAATTGTCAATTTTATATAAAGGTAAAATATTCATCTTCACCCAATTCAGCGAATAGATCCATTACGAAAAAGTTTGAACGAGGGGAACACAGGCAAGATAATTAGGATTTGATCCTTGAACCTACCAGTTCAAATTCGCGATCAGACCACTGACAAGAAAGGGATAGTATGATGCCATCAGCATTTTGACGCAGCCGTTAGCCTGTGTGGTTCTATACGAACTTTCAACTCAATTTTTCCATATCAAGGAGGTAGTAATTCCTCATTGAATTAATTCCTTTATTCTACACCTTTAGTAATGTTAGTGATCATGAAAGTTTAAAACAATGACAACTAAGAATATTTCTTAGGGTAGAAGCCATGATAATGTGGCAATGATTCGTAGACATACGAGTATCTTTCTTACCTCCGTAGCAAGTGTCTGACTAGCCCCAGCCGCCAGCAGCATTTTGACGCAGCCCGCGTGATTCTCCTGAGCTGCCATGTATAAGGGAGTGAACCCTGCTGCTGACTGGGCGTCGGCTTTCGCCCCCGCAGTGAGGAGAGCCTGCGCCACCGCCTCCTGGCCCGCGAGACATGCTATGTGGAGGGCGGTGTTGCCTGCAACCGAAAATGTTCCAAGGGTTTTATTACACAAGACTTAACAGGGTGGTTTGTCCCTAATTTAGTAAAGAAACAAATATGGATTGTATATAATTTTATTAACTTAGGGAAACCAGAAAAAACTGTGGAGACATTCTTAAAAGATGCAGCATCTCAGAGCGATTTGTGATACACCATGCCTTATGTCTATTTTATTTTTTATTTATTTATTTAATCTTTATTGCCTTTACAATGCAAATGGCGGACTTAATGCCAGTATGGCATTCTCTACCAGTCAACCGGAAAGAAGGTGCAGAGAAAATAAAACGGCAGACAACGAACATAGAAAACATTAAAAAGCATTAATCACTTATACATACATACATAAATATACATTCTAGCAACATATATAATAGGTACACACAAATATATACATACATAAATACATATCTAATAATAATATACAGTGTCTGATTATAGTATCCTAATTTAAATTCAAGCATTTTGCGATAAATTTAAATAATGTTTCCGCGCCAAAGCCCTAAACGCATTCCTGTTTGGGGCACTACGCACGTGTAAAGGAAGTGCATTCCAGAGCCGGATGGCAGAAAGGGTGTACGAGCTGGAGACAAACCCAGTATGGTGAATGGGTACTTCAAGTATTAAATTATCATTGGAACGGAGATTTAATTCATGGGAAGACCCCAGGAACTGAAACCGAGATTTCAGATATCCAGGGGTGCGTGGATCGTATAGTAAATTGAAAAGGGTAAGAACTGTCCTTAAGCACCTACGCTCCCGAATAGGTAGCCACTTAAGTCTATTGCGGAACTCTGAAATGTGGTCGTATTTACGTAAACCAAAGACGAAACGAATAGTGTTATTCAGAAGACGATCCAATTTAGTAAGAAATAGTTGATTTATATCAGTAAAACAAACATCAGCATAATCAAAGAGAGGGTGAACAAGGGATTGTACAAGAGAGACTTTAGTACACGGAGGGAGAAAATTCTTGAGGCGATAAAGCGAACCAAGTGTTCCATTTACCTTGCGACATATGTTCTCTATTTGGCCATCCCAACTAAGTGTGTTATCAATTACGAGGCCAAGATTTTTTACTTTCGTAGAATAGGGGATCACTACATCGTTGAACTTAATGGCTGGAACTGTGTTCAAATGAAGCCGTGAAATTTGTCGAGAACTGCCAATAATGATCGCCTGACATTTGACGGGGTTGATGGTAATCCCAAAGTTATGAGACCACTCACGTATACGAGAGAGGTTTTGGTTGAGTAAACAGACTGCCCTCTCCAGGTTTGGTAGGATGTCTTGCGTATACAGCTGAAGGTCGTCTGCATAAAGATGATAAGAGGTAGAAAGAACGGAAGTAAGGGAGTTAATAAATAAGGAGAAAAAGAGAGGAGAGATCACGCCTCCCTGAGGTACCCCAGCAGATAAGTCGGACCAGTCAGAGATCGATTGATCAATTCTAACGGCTTGTTGCCGCCCCCGGAGATAGGAACCGAACCAGTTCAGCGCATTGGAGGAACACCCAAGTTGAGCAAGAAGCGCAAGAAGGATATCGTGATCAACTGCATTAAATGCGTTTGAAAAATCCAGTAGTACTAAAACAGTCAACCGCGACTCCTCCGTGCCATCGCGTATGTCCTCAACAATTTTCATAAGCGCCGTAGTGGTACTATGCCCAGGGCGGAACCCAGATTGGAAGTTAGATAGAAGGCAGTTGCGATAAACGTATGAAGAAAGTTGATTATAAACTGCAGCTTCGAGAATTTTAGAAAGGTAAGGTAAAATGGAGATAGATCTAAAATGATCGAGAGAGCTAGGGTTTGAAATTTTGGGGAGAGGAATGGAAAATGCCTTACGCCAAACAGTAGGAAATGAACCAGAAGACAGGGATTTGTTCATGATGAAAGTTAACGTAGGAAGTAGAGAGTCCAATAACAATATAAACATGTTTCTATTGATATTATCGAATCCTATAGCCTTAGACTTAATGGACAGTGCTAACTTTCGGACATCATGTTCGGTCAGTGGGCTAAAGGAGAAAATGAAATTAGAAGGAGTGGCCGTGGAAGAAAGTTTGGAAATCGTAAGAAATTTAACAGTGTCAGAAAGTTTGTTCTCGCGCGAAAAATGACGATTAAAATCGTTTAAAGGAAAAGGAGATAAAAATCGAGTTCGTGTTTTGCCAATACCAATTGAATTAAGGAACTTCCACATTTCGGCTGGAGAGGAATTAGTAACATTCTGATGAATATAATGACGTTTCGCACCTCTTATCATCTGGTTGCACCGATTTCTTGCTCTCTTGAAAGCCTCCCAGTTGACATCAGAGCGGCATCGTTTAAAAATACGAAAGGCCTTATTACGTCTTCTCATGGCTATGCGCACCAAAGGAGTGATCCAGGGAGCAGGTGGTCGTCGTAGCTTGACAGATTTAACGGGAGCATGATGATCAAATAATTTTATTATTGCTGCATTAAAGGTGGTGATCATATCATTAACAGATGCCTCGCCATACAGAGGCGACCAATCAATGGCATTCGCTTCAATTACAAGCTTCTCAACGTTCAGCTTCGCGAAATTTCTCATACGTATCATAGTCGGCTTAGCTTTAGGGGGTTTTACTTTGAGCGCCAAAAAAATCAGATCATGTTTTGAAAACCCAGGCGCTGACAGCTGACCATGTTTCGTGACCAGGTCTGGAGAGGAAGTTACGATATGGTCGATCCATGAGTCGTCAGTAACGATATTATGATGAGTCGGACCAAGAGGTAAAATAGTGAAGTTCGCAGACTCAAATATTGATCGGAAGCTACGTGAGGAATGAGTATCTTTTAAAAGATCCGTGTTAAAGTCACCCATGATTATGTGATGTCTGTAATCTGAGGAGATGTCGTCAATAAGAGTCTCAAGCTCTGTTAGGAAAGGAACAGAAGGGGGGCAGTAAATAACACCTAGAAGTACTTTAGTATGTTTGACATCAATTTCTAGAAATAAGTATTCCATGCAATCGAAGCGGGAAGAAGAGGAAGTTAAAATCTTATAAGGCATAGACTGAGTTAAATAAATGGCAACTCCCCCGCCACCTTTACCAATTCTGTCATTTCGAATGAGCGTGAAACCTGGTACGTCAACAGATGCTGAACTCAAACAGGGCTTCAGCCAGCTTTCTGAAATCAGAACGGCATGGACAACTGAATTAGACTTAAAAGTGTTCAAAAGTTCGGTGTAATGACAAGGAACACTCTGTGCGTTGATGTGGCAGACATTCAAAGTTACGGTGCCACTGAATTCTTTAGCCACGAGTGCGCCCAAATCATCAGGATCATCGGACGACCGGTCGCTAAGGGAACAAAAAGACGAGGTACCATCCTCTGCTGAACCATATTCACTACTATCAGACATATTATAATAAGTTCACGAAACAAAATAATATATTAAATAAATACAATTAAAAAATATGTATATATATATATCTATGGATAAATAATAAAAAATATATCAAGATATATAAATTGATTGAATAAACTGCTATTTTTAAGACCTGCATTTCCTGCCGATTGATGGTTTACAGTAGTGTGACACGTTAAAAACAAAACTGATTAAGAAATATATAAACCTAAACATACACTCGAACACAATATTTTTAATTAATTAAACACACTAGAAAAACTGTGGTCTTTCTTACAGACAACAGCAGTGTGCGCAGCTTCACTACCACCCTTACATCATGACCACACTACACTTCATTAATTCTGAAAGAACTTAAAACATGGCAGTATAGCATAAGGTCTTTGCGTACATATTATAGCAAATAATTACTTGAGCCACGTTCAAAACCCACGCTCCAGATGCTTTAAATGTTAATATGTGAAATAAGGTTCGAAGTTATAAAGTTAAAACGTTCGGCAAGGTAAAAAAAAAAAAAAAATGCGCTCGGAACGTAGGTTCGGAACGCACCCTGAGATGACATGCATGACATTCACATGTGTCATTGTCACTGTTAGTGTCAGTGCCAATCAACTTATCAAATCAAAATACAAATAAAGATTACCTTACAATGTGTGATGGATAAAAATTAAGTAAGTTAATCTAGCAGTGATAGCGAAGCTACCCACTAAACAAGCAATTCAGCTAATGATACAATGCAAGAGCAACGAGTATAATAAAAGAAGGGAATTCGAACAGTAACAACAAAAGAAAATAAATGGACAACACAGTAGATGGAAACCGCATACCAAAACTCACTTTTTGACAATTTTTACAATACGCTTAGGCCGAGTATGCGTCTGCACAGGCTGGGATATCGCTGGCTCCACGGCGGGCTCACTGGTCACCGCAACATCCGCAATCTCAGTACAGGGAAACTGGTTCATTGCAGCAGTCAGTTCATCAGTGCAGGAGATCCGTAGACGGTTGCCTTTCGGTGTCTTAATGTAAACGCTGCCATCCATTGACCACACACTGGAGACTCCGAAGTGATTTCGCGCAGAGTGGAACAGGGATTGTCGATTCTTAGTAAGAAATTCTCTCAAAACAAGTGAAGAGCCTTTGAGCTTGCTCTTGCTTTTCCACACAGTGGACCGAAGGGCATAGTTGGTAAAACGAATCACCACAGGCCTGTTACGGCCCTCAGTTACAGACCCGAGCCGATGACAAAGTTTTATAGCACTTGTTTCAAGGTGCGTGATACCAAGGTGTTTTTGGAGCAAAGTTATAACTGTTGAGTTCAAGTCCTCTTCAGAGTTTTCTGGAACACCACAAAGAAGAAGATGTTTGCTTCGATGCCTTGCTTCGTGCTGGTCGAGAGATTTTAAAATGTCACTAATCTGTTGCCTAAGAAGTGACAAGATACTCCAGACGAGTTCCTTGAACGCCTTAAACTCATCCTGTATCTGAGGGACCTTTACCTTATCTGAAGACTTCAGTTGGGCTTCAAACTGCTGCATTCTTTGCATCAAGGTGGTCTCCAGTGACTTCTGGGTTTCAAGTACAGCCGCAACACTGCTCATAGTGAAGTGTAGTGTGATTTGATATTTGAGCAAATAACTGTGAGTGACGTGGTGGCAGGTTAATGCAGGTCAGTTCCTCAAAATGACATCACACAGTGCTGCCTACAATGTATGAGGTGACTAAGGGTAAATACTAAGTAATTAAAATGGAATTTATGAAAAACACTATGTTTTAGTATTTTTAAAATAAATTAACTTAAAGAAGCAATGTAGATTTATTTCACGCCTACCGCCAAAAAAAAAAAAACGTCACACGTCTATGCCTATAAGAATCAAGTATGGATCCAAGTGATCGTATTCCTTCATTACGGGGGCCCGGGTTGAATTCGTGGCCACTGATAACGATGACACGGGTATCGACGTCTTAACGTGCTTGCCTTCCGAAGCATGGAGCAGAAAGAGATAAATGATTGTTTTGGTGGTGAAATCCGTTGACTGCCAATTGCGAAGATCCTAATTATCATGATGATCATTAGCCTATTTAGGATCCCGCAGTTGGGGCACTGGCTTTCCTTACAATTGTATAAGGAGAACTGGCTGGAACTGGAGAGAAAGGACCAATTTTCTTCTGCTTCTAACCTAAAGAGCACAATGTAAATTTAAATTCATTTATGGTGAGGGTGCCAACCGAACACCTGGTGACTTCCATAAAGGAAGATGTTTGGTCAACGGGTGTTGTGTTCTGCCGGTTCCGAGGCCGGCTACCTGACACCACTCCGCGTCACACATCACCGTCTCTCGTTTTAAGACAAGTGAGCATCGCTGAGGGAGAAGGTATTAACTTTGTCTTGACGTTCAGCGACAAACTAGTCAAGAGAGTTCTTCACACTGCCGTGTGAACAGTCAGCTTATATGGTATGTAGGTCGATAGCAAGTCGCTTCCTTGCCCGACAACTGCGTAATTATACGGGATTATTAGTTACCTTTTTTTGTAGCGGCGTCGACTACAGCTCCGCGCTTGAGGAGTTCTTCGACGACTGCAATGTGACCATCTTTGGCAGCCAGGTGCAGGGCATTTAGCCCGTTCTGAAACAACAACAACAATAAGTCATAAAAATATTGATCAATCTTTTTTTTAACCTAGTAGTAAAACATAAATATACAGCATAATGTTAACAGAACTAGCATGTTCCAAGCCAGGACAGTTCAGTTCAGAACTAGCTTGCTATCCTTACTTGAAAAACTATCCTCATGTAACACGGGCATTAGTTAAAATAAAAATGCTCCATTTATAATGACCCCAACTCTAACTAACCTCTGTTCATTACCGTAAAAAAACGCTAAGTGTACCGACCGCTATTTACATAATTTGAAACGCAATCACGACTCACGACTGCAAAGTTGAAAATTTTTCTTCTTTCTATACGTATAAATGAGATGGTTGATTCTAATTTTGCTGGGTTTAATTAAAAATCTTGAGCCGGTAGTTGCATTCCGTGCCTTCTATGTGGGAGGAATTTCTAATATTGTAGTTAGAGCTGATTGTTGGCAGAGGTATTTTGTAGGGGATCACATCATTTTTTTTATATTACAAGTAAGCACTGTAATGCTTGTGTTACGGGATACTTGGGTAGCGGGTAGAATATATATACTGATACATTTAGATATACATATTAATATCCCCACTACCCACCGGGACCTGAGGGGCACCTTGAAAGCCGGCGACTCGAGCCACGGAGGTCGAATTAAAATAGCGATACTTTATCACAATCAAATTAACACAAAATGGCCCAAGCCTGTGAATAGAAATTGATTTAGGTTAAACTGCCATATTTATCGTTATCTCGAAAGAAAGCAATAAAGCCTTATCTAAAGAATAATATGCAAAAGTTAACTATGCCGCGGTATAAATCTGGATTCGTACTAGTAGCTAGACAGAGTAGTTTTTTATTTTAAATTTTAGGTATATAAATCTAGAACTAAACTTTAAATAAAAAGAAAATTGAATTAAGGAATAGGTTAGAAATCAATATATCTTTATTCAAATTGCATGAATAGTTACAACTCTTTCGAATCGTTCAAAAATTTTATTCCCTCCCACTCATTATTGGACATATTTTTTAGCTGCGAAGAAAAGCAAGCGTAAATACTCCATAACATTGAAAGTATAATATAACAACATTTACAAATCATTATGTTGTTGCAAAGTCAATACAATCATGATTTATTTCCTATAGAAAACCCGTTGGAATGATTGGAACAGTTCAAACATATAATCAGACACTTTATATAAAGCCTTTTTAATAAGTGCTTTAAGAATAATGCAAGTCTAATGTACTTCACCTGCCAAAGTAAGACCGATGCATGGTCAATGGTCATCCTTTTACGCTAATTTATTTCTTGACGTCGGACGTCAATCGTAATGTATGAAAATATCTAACTTTGTCATATATAGCTGTAAAAAACGATAAAATTGAAATAGGTGGCCCGGACCCATGCTTTTTCATCACTCATTTCTTATTTGGTGTTTAGTCTTTGATTTATCATTTTATCATAATTTAATACCTTGCCAACCTGTAAACATCAGGTTGATGTCAAGCCCACGCTCGTTTTCCTTGCAGTATCAAGTAAAAAATAATACCATCTTTATAAACTTACAAATAATATTGAGTATATCATATGCCCAAGCTTTTCAAAATTAACTGTCTGTTGCAAATAATTTACTTATTTATACACTACTAGCTGACCCAGCGAACTTCGTACCGCCATAAAAATAGAGGCTGGTGGTAGAAGGGTGAAAATTTAGGGTTGTATGTATTTTGTAATGCCACACTATAAAAAAATAAAAAATTGACCTAAAAATAAAATATAAAAAAAAATTGGGGGGAACAACTCTTATCACTTAAGGGTATGAAAAATAGATAGTAGCAGATTCTCAGACCTACTGAATATTCATATAAAATTTCATAAAAATTGGTCAAGCCGTTTAGGAGGAGCATGGTTACTAACATTGTGACACGAGAATTTTATAATATAAGATAACAAACATATAAAACTTCTAACATCGAAGTTATATTATCCTTCCAATTTGATAAGAGATATTTTGGCTTAAATAGGTATTTAGTTGCAAAAATAAAGCGGTCAGTTTGTTCTCGTGAGTACACAAAATTTGACTCGCTCTTGTAAGGGTGGTATTGAGGCATTTGCTAGAAGTTATATCGCCAGCAAAGGCCATGGAAAATAATATACATATATTAACCTAAAAAATTCATGAAGCGGAACGCTCACCTGAGCATTTGTAATTTATTCCACATTCGCGTAATTTTAATAAGTGACTTAAGCATTTCCTATATGATGATTTCTGTTACAACATACGTAAATACAAACAAACCTCATAAAGAAAATAAAGAATACTAATGCAATTTTTTTCGCCTACTTCAAAAAATCGGAACTCGCTGAATCCTGAACGTCAATAAAAATATCAGTGTTATAGATAACTAGCGGCCGCATGCGACTTCGTACGCATGGAGTTAGTTAGAAATAAAGGTTCACTGCTCGTTCCCCGTAGGTGATAGCGTGATAATATGTAGCCTATATGTTGACCCGACTTCTTAATAATATTCGTGCCAAATTTGAAGTAAATCCATGCAGTACTTTTTGAGTTTATCCCGGACATACATACAGACAACAGACAAAAAAACTATATTTTTGGCTTCGGTATCGGATGTAGATCACACCCCAAGTATTCTTTGTTATTCTCATAGACATAACAAATAGGCCATAACATTATATAATAACAAGATAACATCTTCACATAAAGTATAGTCGAGTATGGGCACTTTTCAACATTCACACCGTCCAGTAAGTGTCTCACAGCAATCTCATCTGCCCGTGAGCAATAAAGCGGGAATCTGATAGGGTCGCTGTGCCTTAATGGTCAGCCATTGGAACTGTGATATTTGTAAAGCAAGCTGTTATATAATATAATAGTTTTAGCTATATAATGAATAAAAATATTAATAAATATAAATTACATGGCCGTTATGTAAGATATAAATGAAATTTTTTTACAAAAAAAATAGTGTGGTTTCATAAAACCTACATTATTAAAAACTCATATCTTTATTTTTTTTACTGCTAGATGATTAAATCTAAAAAATATTTTACTAGAAAAAATACCACGCAGATCAGACAGCAGACGGAACTCGAACCCGTGGGTTAACAATGCGAAGAAATGGGGCTGACTTGCAGCTTAATTAACCGAGGTAGCATAATGGTCTGTGCATTCGGCCGCTGTTGCTGGGTCCGCGAGGGTCTTTTCTAGTAAAATTTTCTTTTGAAAAATCTTCTTCAGCTGGCACCTGAATCCGAGCCGCTCGCGTAGCAGGTTAACTTTCTACCACTGAACCACCGATGCTTGATGTTAGTCTTGTTTTTTTAATAACAATTACAAATGTAATGCAACATGCTAAAGATGAACAAAAAAATTGCGGCGATGTTTTTAAAGTTTCACGTTAAAAAATCAACTATCAGGTAGCCGAGGTAGCCGGATACGATACTGTTCAAACACATACAGCTTGAATAAATAAATAAATATTTGACACTCCGATGTCACCCCATGATGCTCTCGCCTATATGCTTGCATGCAGTCGTTTTCATGCGAGCTAGCATCGGAGAGTCCCACGGCCACCGTTCAGGATGGTGGTATTGGGGAACCATGCCGGTGGCACTGCAGTTTAAATCGTAAAAACTACAGAAAGGATTTTAATGCCGTTGAGAAATAGATAGAGGAATAAAACTCCTATTGTTTAATCGCATATAAATAAAGTTTGCCTTGCAGGGCGGATCACAACTTTTCTATAAAAATGTAGCAAAATATATCATCTGTAATACAATGAAAGGTGTTTGAAGATGTTACTATCGCTATGATATCATTCATCACGATGATAGATGAACCCACAATGTCAAATTAAAACAATAACGGAAAAAAAGAATGAGTGAAAGCGGGTATTTGGTACAACACAATTAATTAGGGAATGCTTTGTGAACCTTGTGGTAGAATTTTCACAAAAACATTCATTGTGCAGACTCATAGTAGCGTCTAATAATAAATTACTGAACAAAGCGTAGCGAAATCCTAGGTCTATGGTACAAAGAATTTTCCAGTTGCGTAATAGGCATGGGGATTTAGATATTCTGATCCGCCCTTACTTTCGAAGCGAAGTAAGGGCGAAGCGAAGTAAGGAAGCGTTTATTTTATTACTAACTAGGAAGTAATGACCAGGAAGGAGGCCTACGTCTGGTCATCATCGGGAATTGAAATCCATCCATTCTCTTTAAAATTCAATATTTTAGACTTAGAACACACTTATCAGGGACAACCAATAATAATTAATGCAGTTTAAACTTAATCTACTTAGTTATTAATTTTAACATTATTTCCTATTTTTTGCAATGTTTGTGTGTCTTGTAACGTCTTATAAACTGTTATTACAAAGCGCGCTTTCATACTAACATTAAAATACAGTACACCTTTCTTTCCGTAATGTGGCACTTGGTTTCTATCTAGTTTTCCACTTAATTAACAACTTTAATTCCATAGTAATTACGCCCTGAGCGGCTTGCCGCAAAATCTACGGAATTCCCTTTGCATGTCAATCATCAACATTAACAGGTTATAGAATTATAGACAATTATCCGTCTTTGGTACAAAAGAATTTCTGTATTAATTAATATTAATTTAATTAATTTCGTCCTCGTTAACTTTAGTTTTTTCAGAATCTCAGTAAACTATAATTTTTCCGGGATAAACGGTATCCTGTGTCTCAATCCAGGTTAAAACTATGTGCGCACCAAATTTCATTAAAATCTGTTCAGTAGTTTATGAGTAACAAACATACTAACTTTCTCATCTACAATGTTAGTTAGGATAGGATTATGCTACCTTTATGGAACTTAACAATCTTTTCTCCGGAGATTTTATCTCCCGGATAAAACATGCGTTCCCTAAGCCTACTAATTATTTCCATTTGTTTTACGGAAATAATCTTTAACAAAGATTGATGTCTCAAATTAGCGCTAGAATCCTGCTTCAATCTACGCTTTTGCGTACTTTCCTTATAAGTAAGAAGTATGGATGGATAAATTTCCACGTACTGAACAGCAGGCTTTATGTGTGTGGCCATATATCTATGGTATGGCACATGAAGCAATTAGCAGCATTCGTTAACATCAGATCATCAAGTTCACTGATATCATCCAGTTATTAATCAAAGAATATTTTTAAAGGAACGCAGATTACTTAGTAGATAATATCCGTTTACTGAGAACTATAAGAAAGTATAGCTTTCTAAATTGCTGTAATTGTCGACTATGTATCACAGTTACAGCTTGTTTTTGAGTTGTTAGATTTCTATCGCAAAGAATAATAATTGTTATGTTGTTTTGTTATCAAGTTTAAAATTTAAGTCACTACATATAAAGTCAGTCGCTAATTATTGTCACATTTTAACTGTTATCACAACGATTTCTAATTTTATATTGAATGATATTTATATACTTAAAACTCATTAAAATTTGCAAGTGCTAAATTGAAGGAGAACCATGTAACACATATAGCTCTTAGCAACATAACGACTTTCCAACAAAAAGCCGTTTTTTTCTCAGTCCAATGCCGCAATTACATTTGGTCGTTAGCCCGTATTCGGGTGCAAGAATGACATTACTCGAATTCGGACACCCGATGCAATATTTACACTGGAATACAGGCTGGAAGACGGCGTCGGGTAAACAAAAGGAAATCTACCCGAATACGGGCGTAATCGGCTCATTTAGTGTCGCCGCACACGGGCCACACGCCACAGCCACTAACGCCGCCACGAGAAGCTAGAAGCGGTTACTAAAGTGGCTGAAGCGCGCGACAACGGCCGACTAAGGTAAGGGGGAGAGGGGTGGGGAATCGCGCGAGTGACGTGTGGCGGCGTTTTGTATCGGTGCATTAAGTGGCCGGTGCGGGCCACAAGAAGCGAGCAACGACGATTTGTAGCGTTTGGCGGCCACCGGCGTAATGTGTGTGGCGAGTCCATATAAAATGTATGAAAACTACAAGAAATATGCCGGTGGCGGCGTTTTGTGGTTGTGGTTGGTGGCCCGTGTGCGGCGACACTTAGTTGTTTACCCGAATTCCATAGGCACTCGTATTCGGGCTATAGACCAAATATAATAACGCCATTAAATAAGAAGCTGGAATGGAATAAGTCATTTATAAGAAGTAATTACTTTGCATCTCTAGTTTCGCTAGTTATATTTAGAGTTAAACTAGGAGAGGATGTTTACATCGCAAAAAACATCATTGCAAATGACGGCGTCCTTTGTAACCACCTTCAACACCTGTCAGGATGCGTTTATTGTGTCGCATTATCTGATGGCATGTAAACGGTACAACTTTATGTCAATAGAAAATGGGTAACATTACATCCTATTAATGTTGCTGCAATTGCATAAAGTAGGTTATGCTCACGCCACACAATTCGCTAATTGAATCTGATTTAACGCTTAAGCACAACCAGACTGTAAAGCGAATCGGATGCTATTTTATGTGCGTGCTCCATACCAAAAGTATACAGAAAAACCTTTTTGAAGTTATACTTCTTTAGGCGCGTTATGAAAAAATGATAAGAGTGAAATTTTAAGATGCGCGCGCATCACTGTAACACAAAATTAGCGACCAACTTCATGCTGTTACTTTTGTGTTTACCGCACATTAAGAAAATCTACCACCAAAATAGAATCTCTATTTAGTAGGTGCTAAACGACTGCATTGTGAAGGCCTATCAAAAGTATTTATTAATCTGGAACAACGGAACCAAAGCGCGATTCAGGGGACTACAGCGCCATCTCTTGACCATTGGTGTACCAAAAACCACATGTTTATTTTTTGTAATAAAGTAACAGTTATAGGTATTCATATTTATAATATTTATCCACATGTTTCTAGTTTGTATATTCGGAATACGTGTTTGAGTTTCATACAAGTGCAAATCACATGTTCTAATAAATTATATTCAGTAGCGATTTTAATTGAATATTTTGATTATTTATTTATTTTTTCAAATTAAAACTGAACTTTATTGACTGTGTCCTTTTCCAGACTTTTTATTAATTTATTGTAATTAATTATTTGCATGCAATTAAAAACTAATTTTAAACGATGCCAAAGAAGGATAACTTCTCACGCGCCTACATAAGTACACGCACCCATTTTTTTTTTGTTGCGACTGACGCTGTGATCATTTTCGAATTTTGCATGCGTTTGCCAAACTATCGGAGCTGCTACTGTAGCACTGCAGCACGTTTTTAAAAAGCGCTGCTGCAGCTTCACTGAACTGTTTAGATGGTATAGTGCTACTGCACAACAAAGCGCCATCCTATCGCACTGTCCAGTATAATATTTCTTTAACTCCATGTACATTTCAAAAATGATGATCAATTTCAAAAATGTTTATAAGTAATTGCACTTCTGTGTTCAAAGCGTTTGTAGCTTGATGGAGTTGTCCTGCAACTCCATCAAGCTACTTCGACTATAGATGGCCGGGATTGTGAGTTTTATTATTTTTTGCAATGGCCAAATATAGGGAGGGTGACGCAAAACTAAGTTACACAGAGTCACAGACTAGCATTTTCCATACAAAATTTGACGATGACGATACGTTACCAATATGTTAAAAATTCATGCTTGGGCCTTAGAACCACAGAACACAGAATGAAGTTAGAAGGGCCTTGTGGGTATGGCAGGCGCGCTACAGTTATGTATGAGCAAATGCCTATAACTTGACTCAAACTTGGTTCTGATTGCGTAGTTGCTTTCGTGTGTGAGCGCTGATTGTTTCGATTGTTTGATGTCTCGTCGTTTGATTGGCTATTATCCATTAGGTGGAGGTGTAGTGGGGGCGAGCCGGTGTCATCGGTTCCCATACAAGCGATCTATGATCACCCTTTTAACTTCTTTCTGTGTTCTGTGTTTAGAAGTCATTCGTGGTTCGTAAAGTACCGTTATGTTAACTAAAATGCATTTGCAATCGTTAGTTCCCACCAAAATGCGCTTGTTCGTAGTACTTTAACGTGGGGTTAATAGCCAGACCTCCTTCTTTCACTGATTGATTTATACAAGGTGCAACAAATTACCCCACCCGCCCTTATGTTAAGTGTAAGTGGAGTTCAGTCGCGAAGATAGATGATGCGGCAGGAGGTGTGCCGCCCCACCCATCCCCACCTTGCCGGCCTGAACCCAACCCTGTACCCCGCGGAGTCGTGGAACCATACTCACCAACAGAAACACACCATCACCAAAAGGTTTCTGTCATTGTGGGGGCATTATTAGCCGTATGATGATTTATGAAGAACTTTATAGTAATACTAGCTGAGCCAGCGAACTTCGTATCGCCATAAAAATATGGGTGGTAGAAGGGTGAAATTTACGGTTGCATGTATTTTAGTATGATGTTGGTTTATTTTAATCCAAAACAAAAAAAAATGTGTGGACCCCCTTTAATATTTAGGGGGATTAAAAATAGATGTTGTCTGATTCTCAGACCTACTGAGTATGCATATATAAATTTTCACGAAAATCGGAGGAGTTCAATTACGCACACAGTGACACGAGAATTTTATATATTAGATAAGTTATTTATGGGATTGTTACCATGTACCTTGTTTTAAGCGAGTTTCTGATATTTCTGCACTGTTGCAAGCGCCATGATCACGGAGTGAAGTAATTGCGGGTAGGTTGTTATTGGCAGACATATCTTTCTACCTTCCGACGAAGTCTTTTATTGTTCACATTCTCACAATTCACTCGAAACTGTTCTCTACATTAAATGTTGTGTCATTTACAGTATCGGATTGCCACACGACACTTTTTTGATTATTCCCGGTTTTACAAATACGAACCACAGGATTCCAGACACTCGACAATTTAAACCCGTCCTCACGATTGAATTTTTATGTTTTGTTATTTCAATCGCTTCTCTGACCAATTTTGGTATGTAGTGGCATTCTGTAGAGATAAGCTGTGTCTCAATAATACAATCTGTGTACAATTATCTGTTTGATAATTGTTATCCCGTAAATAACATAAATTACTATAATGTTAGTGACCATGAAAGTTTAAAACGATACATTAAGAAGAACTTGTCATATAAACCTATAATACCGTCCCAGAGTCATAGATATCCCATTTTAATATGACAAACATTGGTCCGCTCTACAAATTATTCAGAGCAGTAAAAATATTCAGTTTGCATGCACTTTATTCCCCAAGGCACATGGAACTAGCAGTACAATCAATCCTCTAAGGACTGACTTGTGAACCAGTAGCTTGTAAGTATTGTCAAAGAATAGACTGGTCTTCAGAATTTTCTCCATCGCAGCTATTATCCAAGTTAAAAAGTACCTACTCTATTTTGCGTGATTGCGTCACAGAAATACAAAAGTAAAAATTCTTCAATTTTATATTCATAGAAGGATAAAATATTGCGAAGAAGAAAAGGAATCGTGGATATTATTAGAAAATCCAACTCACGAGGAACTCGATGGTGCAGGTGGATAGCGCGTTGGACCTGCGATCGTTGAAGTTAAGCAACTCTCGCAATGGTCGGTCATTGGATGGGTGAACAAAAATTATTAACTCGAGCTCCTCCATGCTAAGGCACGCTAAGCCGTTGGTCCCGGCTGCATCCGCAGTCTGCACTGGGCCCGTGGGTGCCGTGGGAAAACTCATGGCTCAATTTCCCTATTCGATCGATTCGACTAAATAGGCTGGTGATGATGATGAGAAAACTCACCGAGTTGCATGTGTTTATGTCTTTGACTGCGCCGGAGTCGAGCAAGTCCACCACAGTGTCCAGCTGGCCGGCGCGCGCCGCCCGCAGGAACGCTGTGTTTGGGTCTATCTGTCGACAAAAACGCGAAACATTAATTCATACGATATTTAGCGAAAACATTAAATTTTAAAAAATTTCATAAATACTAATTTTATTGCTAAGATAGCTGATGCAATGGACATATTATACTCGACCGCAAATAAATCGGCAAGTAGTTGGAACTCTGATTCGATAATCGCAAAAAGTACTTATGCAATTTACATAAAATAAGGGTTACTATCTACAGAAAGTGCGTTTCATAATGATTAAAACGAGTAAAACCATATTATATAGTACTATTAACTTACATTGTAATCAAGCAAGAGACACATTGCTAACGATTTATTACAATTCAGTTGATTGAGTACAATTAGAAACACAACAAGTCGCTTTTAAAAAGTCTAAAACTGTTGAAAGCATAGAAACGAGTCACATATTAAAACTGTTTAGTGAATAGTGACTTGCCGGTTGTGACGATGCTCGTTAATTGTGCCCAAGTTCCGAAGTGTCCATAACAAATGACAGTCGTGCCCTAGAATTTCACGGTGTACACGATTGACCAGCTCACGAAGGTCATGGACTAAAAATTATCGGCAAGGGTTGTCGCACGTGATACCAGAGAATTGAGAATGCAATCGGAAGAAACAAACCGAAGAGAAAATAATAATTAACAATACGTCAACTGACCATCATGAATTTGTTACGAAATCGGAAAGTTTTTACTATAATGTCACGTTGGAGTAAAATTATGGCTGTATGGAAAGATTTTTGAATAAAACATTTACTATCTGTGTTTTATTCTTCATAAAGCAAATTGCGTTTTAAAATAAGATTGGTTTGGAGATGATTTCTTTCTAGAGCAATAGATAAGTATAACCCAATGTTGAATGAACAAAAGAAGAAGTTGGTTAAAAAAGAGAAGAAATGTAAGGACATACTTACGAATGTTATAAATTACAGACAGAACTCAAAAAACGTAAGTCAGTATAGTTATCAGCTAGGTGAGACTTCTGAGGTCACTTCTCACTTGCTAAAAAATACCTCTGGTAGACTATTCTAAACTAATATAGGACACAATATTAACAAAAACCTTTTTGTAAATACATTTTCGAAAATTTTTGCAATCCTCCCAAAAGAGCAAAAACAAAATATGCCACGTAGCGAAAATAAAAGGCCAATAAATTAATAACCTGTTTACAATTACGCCCACATAAAATTAAGGAATCAAACTTTTATTCCGTATTCGATTTTCTTTTTCATCAGGCCACCTGTAGATAAGCGTAAGTCAAATCAATGCGTAACAAATGGTCACGCACCATGAATGATTTCCGCAATTTTTTTACGACAAACGAACGATTATTTTAAATATTGGAAATAGGACAAAGCGTACGAAGTTATTATGCATTTGAAATAAGGAAGGACCAACTGATTGTTATAAATAATAAATGAATCGATTTAAATTAGTAACGTCGTCCATGGCAATTGGCAATGTCACAGCAGAGTGGCAGCAAATAGGCTAACATTTTTTTAAAAATAAGGCTGCATAGTATTATATTGTTAATGTTAAAAGGGTGGCAAACAAGCGCATGTCCTGTCTGATGGCTTGCGACATCAAAAATATCACTCGCACCGTTGCCTACCCTGAACCTCGTGGAGACCTGAAACTTTACTCAATGACAGAAACACAACACCACCAAAAGTTAGTGTTATTTTGCTGTGATCTTCTGTAACGTGAAGGTTACTTCCCCAGACGGGCGCTCCAATTTGAGCGGGAAATACGCTGCGCTCTCTCAATAATCAACATAACATTGTACTCGTTTCACAAACATTAAAATTATGTTAAAAATAATAGTACAATTTACATTCATTAACGGCTAGTTTGATATGATTTCAAGTAACTATTTATGATCTCGCAGTAATTTGTTTACACATTAAAGCACTAGATTCTTTTTCAAAGAAAAATTAAAAAAAAATCTTAAATGATATAAAAATTGAATTTAGTTAATAAAGATATGGCATGTAATAAAATCAGTCGTGCAATCTGTAAAAATACACGTAGTATCATTAGTCTTGATACATTCTGTAGTATATAAGCCAAGTAGAAATAACAAAGAGTAAGCACATGCCAGTCATTATCATTGCAACAAATTAACGAGAAAAATTCAAAGGTGCATGTGGTGCATATTCAAAATTCCGATGTTGAAACGAATTAAGAATTGCACGAACGGCAATGATATCTGCAGCGCAATGTCTATCATCACGTAGCGTCGTCAAGTTGTGAATAAATGAAACAATAAACGTTAAATTTTAGTAACGGAACACTTCACTTCATCATTTCCACCATTAGAGTTGAAGAAAAACATTGCCATAGCTATTAACTTCTCCTCGCAAAAACAGAAAATCTATTATTAAAAATTTGAAATCATCATAGATTTATGAAATTTACCAATTTAATATCGCAGGTAATCGACAGTAATGATAAACTATTGCACAAGAACTATTCGAACTAATTCCGCCCGCACTTTTTAAGCATCGGACGACGAGACGTGGACTGTGCCTTAATCCGTACGTGGTTGAAATACCTCACGATTCGCATCCTCCTTTATGGAATGACACAAGTCGACACTGACACTCGACACAATTATCGACACTAGTGTCGATTGCGTCCACACGGTAAGTAATTTTTTGTGTCGGCATTAGTGTAAACATCCCGGTTCGGGTGTATAAAACTTAATATTTAGAAGGCATCTGTATGGGTTTGTATTTATTTAGCTATCTAATTTCCGGAAATTGAAGAGAGGCAGGGCATAGCGGATTTACCGCTCGAATAGAAGCACCTGTCTGGGGAAGTAAGTTACCTCACCTTACAAAAGAATATCGAAAAATAAAACTACCTTTTGATGGTGTTGTGGTCCTATTTACCTATATATATATATATATATATACACAGTGATATATTACCAACAGGTGGGCCATATGCTTGTTTGCACTCTTCAGATACAAAAAATGCTGCTTTCATTTAAAAATTTGAAGATTTGACCAATTGTGTGGGAGAGGAGTACAAAATAATTTAATTAGTGTGACGTTCTTTATGGATGACTCCTTATCATGCGTACCGCTAGGGGATGAAACTCCCTTCCTGCGTCTGTATTCCCCGATACGTATAATATAGGGACCTTCAAGAAAAGAGTAACTAGGCATTATTTGAGTTTGCGTGCTGCAGCTTAGATCACATCGTTGCTTAACATAAGGTGCGATTGTGGTCAAACTCACTCAAATTTTTTATATATAAAAAAAAACTTTAAATTTTATCTGAAAAAAATACTAAAATACTTGTCAAATTTTCTGTATTACCGGACAATCGATCGATAGATGATATCGAATGCCCAATACCATCGATAGACGGTACAGATAAAAGATCTCAGATATTAGACGGCAGACAGTCGATAGCCATCTCGGGATTCTGTTCGTGACCGACGAGACGAAGAAAGTCGGGAGACCTCATTTTCAAACATGTATACTTAAGTATTGTAAACAATATGTTTCTTTATTTTTATAAGCTCGGTTTGAAGTAGCAGTAACGCTAGCGTTGTTCCTGATTTTAATAATACAATGTAAAGAATAATGGTGTAGGTATCTATATTTAGTTAAATGTCGGTACAAATCGGAATCTTTACTTTTTTTTAATTACTTATCTCTGTTTTAAACAGACACCAATTTCATATGAAATTAAGAGACACTGGTGTTTACTGGTGGCGAATCACAATAGATCTTATAGGTCGCAGTCACTACAGTTCCATTATGACTGCATAGCCCCAAAAATCTAAAATAATAATAATAATATCCCTTTTTTGACAAAAGTTTCTATTTTAAACTGTAATAGTCACAATATTGCCAAAAAAGAGAAGAAGGAGATGAAGATAATAATATAATAACTACATATCAGTCTGAGAAGCATTAAATTCAATTAACATGGCGTATGGTCGAAATTATACAATTATATTCACTTGTTGCACCTTTATTTGACGTACTGCTATGCAGCTATTGCTACCTAACCTAACCAGCATAATATGTGGCGCTTGATGTATTATGTAAGAAATGGTATGGTATGGGTTTGGTCCATCTGTACCCAGCCCAGGGGGGGGGGGGGGTCATGACCCCATAACCCCCCCCCCCCCCCTGGATCCGCCCTCGGGTACAAGGTCAGCATACAACAAGAGTTTGGATCTCGATCTCATTTCCCCCTGTTCGTGTGGAGTATTAGCATGTATATTTTCTTTTTAACCGACGACGCGACGCGTATATTTTTTATGTATGACCACGTATAACTTTTATACAGAGTCGTCCGATTTTGATAATTCTTTTTTATTGGTCCTGAAATTGGTCCCATATGAATTTAGAAAATAAATCCAACCCTAAGTGTAGGAAAACTCGGTTTTTTTCTCGAACTCGGATATTTTTGAAGTGAAAACTTTAGCGGCGTTGTACACTTTTTTTTGTATGGGTAAAAAATGTTACACTCGCGTCAGGGTAAACACGTGGGCTGATCGCATCATGACACACAATAAAATTGGAAAGGTTGTTGACTTTCAATATATTGGATGAAACATAGCAATATTTTATTTTATCGTATTGTAATAATAAGTATCTATCTAGGACGTCCACGTGGCAGCTTTATTGCAAAGAAAATTCATTTTTTTTACAATAGAGTCGCTACGTGCGCTTACATGTGATTCATGTAAGTTGATTTTTCTGAGAGATAAACTTTTTTAATGTAATACAAATTGTCATGTTTGTGTACGACAGCGCAATAAATGAATATTGTATTCTACCACATACATGATAGTACTTTTATGCTGATAATTAAAGCAATACGTACAAAATTATTCCCTAACCATTCCAAAATATCAAAAATGCACAACGTTAATATTCAAGTTTTCACTTCTGCCGGCACTCCCGGAGTGCAACTCGTAGTTTTTTTTTCTTTAACTTACATCTATCCGACATGCATGGCACCGACTCCAAATATTAATTTC